CACTTCCTTTCTTGTTGGTCCTAGTCCTCAGTACCTTATATTGGTTCTCAGAACCTGAAAATCAATGATCAGTTGCTATTGACTTTTACATCTTTGTTGCTTGAACACAGTTAGTTGATGGCCTAGAACCTACAGGTATTTGTGTTTGCAGTCTTGGCCATGGCCTCTTCTGATTGATAATGTCAATGAACTCACCACCGATATTTCAGTTTTGTTTGCTCTTTGACACTTCTTTAGTGTTTTGACTTTGAGAGTTACCTCATGCTGACTCTGACCATAAACCCAGGACATAATTCTGGTCCAGCTATCATCAGCTTTTTTCTGTATTGTATACAATATGTAAGCCAGTAATTCATATGATATTGACCTGTTCATTTTTCAAATAAAATGCATACTTTTCTATAGCACTGTTTTTTCAAAGTAGACCAAGCACTGTAGGGATCTGCATGTTTTGAAAAGAATACTACATCTTTTAAGAGTTAAAGGAGAATAAGAGATTCAAAGGGAGTTATTTGCTAAAAGAAATACTTTCTAAGGCTTGATTGTATGGCTTTATCCCGTGTTACTGTCATAATTTCTTTTCCTTTCTACTGATAAATTTTATTGGTTTTAATCCCAATTTGCAGCATGCATGGGTTACTTTAAGAACTATTTGATTGATAGAAATTTTTCTAAAAAAGGTCTGGGCTCCATACTTAAAATATTTTTATCAAAAGTTCACATATACTTTCAAATATATTCCATTTTTTTGCTACAAATCCGAAGTTTAAAGATATCTATAATGTATATTATTCATATTTTATATTAATTATTCATCATAATACTGACATTATTTTCAAATTACTAGAATTATTGAAGAAAAGTAAAATACAGCAGCAGGAATGATATATAATATAAAATAATTAATATAATAAGATATAATAAAGGTTTTGCTTTTTAGGTGGTTCCTAAGTGTCAAATAATTATACAAGAAATTGTTTTCATTATTATAAACAGCTGAAGTAATTGTAAAACTATATCCAAGCTTGTGACACATTTTTTTTTATAATGACAACTGAGATAAACATATCAAATTATAAGCTAACTCCAAAGAAAGTAAATAATTTTATTATCTACTTCCCAAGTAGAATAACAATACACATAGTTTACTTTCTAGAAGGAAAAATGTTTCTGCAGTTGTAGTTATAATTTCCTAGCATTGTTATTTCAGTCTTTTCCTTAAATATATTTTCTTATTATTGCTTTTACTGACAATTTCCAAAATTTATATGAATATTTTAATCTCCATGGTTTCCGTCTTTTTCTCCTTCTCCTCTTTCTCTCTGTCTCCTCATTTTCTTTGCCCTCCTCCTCCCCCATCCTCCTCCTATATTGCAAAACATTTGTGTAAGTTTCAATAGCCTACCACTTCCAAAGAAAATGTACTCCTCAAAGAAGGTTCAGTTGGATATCAAGAGAGGAACAATCAATGAACCAAATCTGGCAAATAGATAGTTTTCAGTACAAAAATGGATTGTAAGAATGATACATATTTTTGGACTAACTTGAAATAAATCAAATTATGTAATGTAGTACATAAAATTCGTATTAATGACACAGTCTTACCATTTGGTTTAAACCTGCTTTCATTGGATATAGAAAATATGATTGCAACAATGTATCTGAAATGATGTCATTTTATAATTTTGAGTTCACAATGAATTCTCATTTTTGTTATGTGCACCCTTAAGAAGATGTATTTGTATTGTAAAAAGAATCATATTTTTATATACATTTAATGCTAACTGGTCTATAATTTTTGGAGATAAAAGTGATTGTCAGAATTGCAGAAAAATCAGAAGATTGCTCAAGAATGTATTTGCATGAACTATAAGGAAACATTTAGTTATTTATATATGAGTGATTTCCAAATGGTGAGTGTTGGGAAACAGAATCCACAGTGTGTTTCAGCATAGAAAGGAGCAGAGCTTGAAAGGCACCTTATAGAAAAGTACTCGTAACATGCACGTTTCTACGTACCAGCTTACGGGAACATTTCTTAATACATGGCCTTTATAAGCTTAAACTCCTAGGTTTTTTAGCTACTGAAGTAGATTTTTGGAGTTTTGTTTTGTTTAGAAATTGAGGGAAAAAGAAACTCATGTATATTTATAGTAGAAGCACCTTTACCTTTTGTAAGCAAAGGTACATTGGTGATGAGAGTTAATGAGTAGAAGAGCAACATACAAAGGAGAAAAAGATGACAGTAGAGGGCAACTGCCCACCTCAGGGTACAAATAAGAGAAGGACAAATAGCAATGCAGTAGAGAAATTACATTTCACTCATGGCAGTTTATGGTTGACCTAATGACAAGGTCGAGTATTATGCACTGAGTGTAAAATTAATGTCAAGTCGAAATGGGCTTTTCATCTGGATGGCACTTGCTAATGTAAAACATTTTAAAAAGAAGCCATCAGCAACACTTGGGAAAAGATAATTCTGAAAGGAGAAGTAATTCATGTCATTTATTTTAAGAGACAAAAATAAACCCTTGAGAGCAAAGCTTTCATTTCCATGTTTAATTTTGAAGGAAGAGAGTCAGTTGCAGACAAAAGTCAGATAGATATCAATAATTATTTCTGTTCACCTGGAACCAGGATAGTAATTTAATTTGTATTAGGGCAAAATTAAACTTTTTTTTTCATTTTGCTGATGAAAGACCTTTGTGCGATGTTCAGACTTAACCAAAATAGCATTTAGTGTCCTGAAAAGAACATGGTAAAACAATATAACTTATTTTAATAACACTTGATGTATTAGACGAGTGACAGACAGGTCTACAGCCAGGACTGCTTTTCATTCTCCTGGGGACTAATAAAAAAGCCATATGACTTTTTTATTGACAGAATTTGAGAGAAAATAATAAATGGCACCTCTGTATTTAAAAACACAGGAACTGATCATGCTTTCCTTACCTTCTCTTTGCTACTAAATGCAGAGGATCCAGATGTACTAAGACATGGAAAGAGTTATCGTCTCTGAAATTACCACATTTAGGTCAACTTGCTGCCCCTAAACCAACCTCATTCGAATGAAATGAGAACAACGAGGTTCTCATTTCTATGGGAATAAACCACTGAAGTTTAAGAATTTTATTTTTATTTTTCATACCTAAGTAATACAGTTGTGTGCGTGCGTGTATGTAAAAATAGTCCTTAAATAGTTAATTTTCAAGAAGAAACTTAAAATACATAAAATATAATAAAGATTCCATAGTGATTTGCCAAGTAAGTGGATATCTTCCAGAATCTTCTAGATAGAATTCCCATGTATGGATGGAATCAGTCTGCTTGAATGTAACTAATCATGATCAGTACCTTACAAAATGAGGTCAAGCTGACATTTTCACTTCCTGACTTTTTTCAGTTTTGCAATATTTCCTTTCAATTTTTTATTCAATTTGTACTTCAGTGTTCTGAGACACACTATGTATTTATTTTACTTAGTGGAATTTGTGGTTTAATTTGAGACGTGTGGTTTCACATCTGTTTTAAGCTATCAAATACATGGTGAAAGTCTCAAGAATGGGCAGTCTTACTTAAAAAAAAAAAAAAAAAAAAAGACTAGCCACCATATAGTTCAGCTTCAAGAATGCCAGACTCAAATCCCAAGTCAAAGAAATAATCAAGTCAATTTCCATATCAACATATTTTGCAGCCAACACTGAGCTAGGTCACAAAAACTGATATATGCAAAGCAACGTCAATTATCAGGAGAGAAGTCTTCTTTTGTAAAGATCAGGCAAAAAGGAGAGCAATGCCAGATTACAAAACTAAAATCCAGTATCATGGCAACACAGTAAGAATGTAACAGACATACACACTCAAAATTTTCATATGCAGTGAAACAACATATTATTTATTAACTGAGTCTCTAACCACATTCATTGTAGTTTTCTTCTTTATTCAGCTTTGATTTGCTGGTTATCATACTTTTTTTTCTGGCTAACCTACTGTCTTTCAAGGCTGTGCTTATGAATGCTCAACAATATTATTGACATTGTGTTACTCAAAGTCTTTACAAAGACAAATGAGGATTAATCAAAAAGTAGCTATTTTATAGGTTTTATCTGCCAGCTATTATTCTCCAAAGTAGATGAAAATACTTTTTTTTTTTTTTTTTTTTTTTGCCAGCTTCACAAAGAGAAGTTCTAAAATTTGAATTTGAAAATCCTTTAGAGGAATGTGTTGAGATAACTATCAGAAGTTATATTAGGAAAAGACCATGCTTAGAGCATTTAAAATAATTTTTACTTGGAACAGTGCATAGAATTGAAGTATGTAGCATATCATCTAAGTGACTTACAGAAGACATCCCATTAAATTGCTCAATATTGTTATAGAAATCTTATTGTATTACTAGCTTTTGTAAAGTGGGATAAAATTTGTTTTAATATGAGTAAAAAATAAATTATAAAATGTTATCAAAGTTTCCAAAAATAAAAGATACGTGAATTGAATCTACAACACTGGTTTTAAATGAGAAGCAGGAGTGTGATTGCTTTGTGGAGTGTATATGAAGAACCAGAAAATATTGTTGTGTTTTCATTTTTGTTTTCAAATTAATATTACCAAATCATATTATTTTTTCTTCTGGGGATCCTTAATTCAGGTAAAAAAAGAATAGTTTACTAATCGCTCCAGGGGATTTTATGTATTCTTCTGCCTTTTCTAAGAGTGTGACATGTTTTAAAATTTGAAGAACTTTCATTTGTATGGGTGATGTATAAGAAGTATAGCATGTAATGATGAGGAAATGTGCTATAGCCTCAATTGACCAAATAGAAGAATAAAGGTAGTACAGAGAAAAACTAATAGTGTTTTGCGTTTTTAATGATTTACGTAAGTAAATGCATTAAAATGGTTTTGATTAAGTTGGCTATATTAGTTCTCAAGGTGCTAATAAAGACATATCCAAGACTGGGTACTTTATAAACAAAAGATGTTTAATTGACTCACAGTTCCACAGGGTTCAGGAGACTTCGGGAATCTTACAACCATGACTGAAGGGGAGGCAAACAAGTCCTTCACATGGCAGCAACAAAGAGAAGTGCCAAGCAAAAGGCGGAAAAGCACCTTGTGAAATCATCGGATCTCTTGAGAACCTACTTACTTACTCTCAAGAGAGCAGCATCACGGTAATTACCCTTATGATTAAATTACCTCCCACTGGGTCGCTACCAGCACACATGGGGATTATGGGAGCTAAGATTCAAGATAAGATTTGGGTGGAGACACAGCCAAACTGTATCATCCCACCCTTGGCCCCTCCAAAATCTCCTGTGGTCACATTTTAAAATACAATCATGCCCTCTCAACAGTCTCCTAAAATCTTAACTAATTCCAGCATTGACTCAAAAGTCCAAGTCCAAAGTCTTATCTAAGACAAGGCAAGACCTTTCCAATTAAGAGCCTATAAAATTAAAAGCAAGTTAGTTACTTCCTAGATACAATGAGGGTACAGGCCTTGGGTAAATACAGCCATTCCAAATGGGAGAAAATGGCCAAAACCAAGGGGCCACAGACCCTATAAACATCTGAAATTCAATAGGGCAATCATTAAACCTTAAAGTTGCAAAATGATCTTCCTCAACTCAATGTCTTACATCCAGGTCATGCTGATGCAAGAGGTGGGCTCCCACAGCCTTGCACAGCTCGGCACCTGTGGCTTTGCAGGGTAATGCCCCACTCCTGGCTCTTTTCATGGGCTGGTATTGAGTGCCTGTGGCTCTTCCAGGTTCACAATGCAAGCTGTCAGTGAATCTACCATTCTGGGGTCTGGAGGTTGGTGCCTTCTTCTCACAGCTCCACTTGGCAATGCCCCAGTGGGGACTCTGTGTGGGGGCTCCAGTCCCACATTTCTCTTCTTCACTGTCCTAACAGAGTTTCTCCATGAGGGTTCCATCCCTGCGGTAGCCTTCTGCCTGGACATCCAGGCATTCCATACATTCTCTGAATCTAGGCAGAATTCCCCAAACCTCAATAGTGGACTTCTGTTCACCCGCAGGTCCAACACCACATGGAAGTTACCAAGACTTGGTGCTTGCACCATCTGAAGCCATGGCCTGAGCTGTACATTTGCCCCCATTAGTGATGGCTGGAGCAGCTGGAATGCAGAGCAGCAAGTTCCAAGGCTGCACACAGCAGCAGGGACCTGGACCCAGCCCAGGTATGGAATTTTTCCCTAGGCCTCCAGGGAAGGCCTCTTTTCCCTAAGCCTCCATGCCTGTGATGAGAGGGGCTGTCATGAATGTCTCTGATATGCACTGGAGACATTTTCCCCATCCTTTTGGTTATTAACATTCAGCTCTTCATTACTTATGCAAATATCTGAAGTGGGCTTGAATTTCTCCCCAGCAAATGGGTTTTTCTTTTCTATCTCATCATCAGACTGCAAATTTTCTAGTTTTATGCTCTGTCACCTCTTGAATACATCACTGCTTAGAAATTTATCCTGCCAGATCACCTAAATCTTTCTCTCAAGTTCAAATTTCCACAGATCTCTAGGGCAGGGACAAATTGCCACCAGTCTCTTCACTAAAGCATAACAAGAGTCACCTTTGCTCCAGTTCCCAAAAAGTTTCTCGACTTCATCTGAGACCATCTCAGCCTGGACTTTATTGTCCATATCACCATCAGCATTTTGGTTTGGTCAAAGACATGCAATAAGTCTCTAGGAAGTTGAAAACTTTCCCACATCTTCCTGTCTTCTGAGACCTCCAAGTCTCTAGGAAATTCCAAATTTTCCCACATTTTCCTGTCTTCTGAGCTCTTCAAAGTGTTCCAACCTCTGCCTGTTACCCAGTTCCAAAGTTGCTTTCTCACTTTCAGGTATCTTTACAGCAGTGCCCCACTACCCAGTACCAATTTACCGTATTAGTTCATTCTCATGCTGCTAATAAAGACATACCTAAGACTGGGTTATTTATAAAGGAGAGAGGTTTAATTGACTCATAGTTCCACATGGTTGGGAAGTTTCAGGAAACTTACAATCACGGTGGAAGGGAAAGAAAACATGTCCTTCTTCACAGGATGGCAGCAAGGGCAAGAGCCAAGCAAAAGTAGCAAAAGCCTCTTATAAAACCATCAGATCTCTTGAAAACTCACACACTATAATGAGAAGAACATAAAAGTAACTACCCCCATGATTCAGTTATCTCCCACTGGGTTCTTCTCATGACACGGAGATTATGGGAACTAAAATTCAAGACGAGACTCGGATGGGGAAACAGCCAAATCATATCACTGGTTCTTTCTCTAATTTTTAATTTTAAGTTCGTCTACTTTATTCCACTTATAGTGAAGAGATTTGCTAGCTAAATCTTTCCAGCTTAGAAAATGAGAAAAAATAATTTTTTAAATTTACTTGGAATAAATGCTTATGAAGGGATTCAATTTTTTTCAAAATGAAAATATGGAAGACTTTAAAAATATATTATTTATTCTTTACAGCCCTGTTAGGCATGTTTGATGCTTTGAGAAGTATATAGGTGTGGGAGAGACAATGTACATGCACAAGAAAGAAGACAGATAAATTAGGATCTAGAACAGGCAGCAGCAGATGAAATGCAGGATAGATGCAGAAGATAACAGTGTATGGAGTGAAGTGTATATAAAGAAGGAGTCACCTTCGCTACGTACAGTGTTGCTTACCAATGGGTACACATTCAGAGGAATGTGTCTTTAGGCAACTTTGCCTTTGTTCAAACATCACCGAGCATACTCACACAAAACTAGATGGGGTAGCCTACTCCACACACAGGCTATACGGTATAGCCTATTGCTCCTAGGCTACAGAGAGTACAGCATGTTAGTCTACTCTATTCTGCAGTACAGCATGTTACTCTAACAGTACAGCATGTTACTACTGTACTAAGAGTACAGCATATTGCTCTACTCAATACTGTAGGCAACTGTAACAAAATGATGTTTGTGTATATAAATGAATCTTAACATAGAAAAGGTACAGTAAAAATATGGAATAAAAGATAAAGAATGCTACAGCTATATAGGGCACTTAGCATGAATGGAGCTTGCACAAATAGAAGTTGCTCTGAGTGAGTCAGTGAGTGAGTGGTGAATGAATATGCAATCCTAAGGTAATAATGTACATTACCATAGACTTTATAAACATTGTACACTTGGGGCACACTAAATTTCTAAAAAATAATTTTCATTCAATAGTATGTTAAGCTTAGCTTACTGAAACTTCTTTAGTTTATAAACTACTAAATTATTTTAACATTTTGATTGTTTTGTACAACACTTACCTTAAAACACAAACACATTGTGCAACTGTACAAAAATACTTTCTTTCTTTTATTCATATTCTATAAGCTTTTCCCTATTTTAGTTTCTTTAATTTTTATTGTTTACTTTTTAAACTTATTTTGTGGGGAAGTAAGACACAAACATACATGCTATTCTAAGCCTACACACACAAGGTAAGGATCATCAGTATCACTGTCTACCACTTCCATATCCTGTCCCCCTGGAAGGTCTTCAGGGACAATAACACACATGGAGTTGTCATCTACTAAGATAACAACGCATTCTTCCACAGATCTTCCTAAAGGACCTTTCTGCGGCTGTATTAAGTTTACTTTTAAAAAAAAAAAAAGTAGAAGCAATACATTCTGAAATAATCATAAAATGTATAGTGTAATAAATACATAAACCAGTAATACAATAACATTTATTAGATTATATTTGTATGTGTTATACTTTTATATGACTGGCAACATAGTAGTTTTTTACACAAGTGTCATCACAAAGAAGTGACTAATGTGTTACGTTACAGTCAGCATTATGATGGCTATGATGTCACTAGGGTATAGAATTTTTAGGCGCCACTATTATTTTGTGGGAAGATCATCAAATATGTGTTTATTGTTCACTGAAATCTCATTATGAGGCACATAAATCTTTTGTATCAGGAGAAAATAAAGAAGTAAATGTGGAGGCAGCTAGAGTCATAGGTTTAGGGTCTACAAGTTAAGAAAAATTTTTATACATATTTATTATCTCCATGACATGTAAGACTAGAAAAAAAAAAAAAGGAGGGTAAAAGAATATAGGATTTAAGGCCAGGTGCGGCGGCTCACACCCATAATCCCAGCACTCTGGGAGGTCGAGGTGTGTGGATCACCTGATGTCAGGAGTTTGAGACCAGCCTGGCCAACACGGTGCAACCCTGTCTCTACTAAAAATACAAAAATTAGGCGGGCATGGTGATGGGCACCTGTAATCTCAGCTACTCGAGAGGATGAGGCAGGAAAATTGCTGGAACCTGGGAGGCGGAGGTTGCAGTGAGCAGCGATCACACCATTGCACTCCATCCTGGGCGACAACAGTGAGATTTCATCTCAAACAAGCAAACAAACAAAAAAAGAATATGGGATTTAAGGAGAAGAGAGAAGGTATAATAAAGTTCCGGTCTACAAATTACAGAAATTCTTTTATAAATATTTATTATCTCCATGACATGTAAAACTAGGGAAAAAAAAGGAGGGTAAAAAATACGGGATTTTAGGAGAATAGAGAAGATATAATCGAGTTATTTTAGAAAGTAGAAAAAGAAATACAACAAAATATCCCTTTGTTGTTGTTAAGCACCCAGTTGAAGCTCCTTATTTATATTTTATTTATTGTACTGTATACTCAGTAAAGAGCTCCACAAGCCAGAGAGGGAAGAGAAATGGAAATAACTAGAGCTATGAATATATTAAATGGGTATACCATGAAGGAAAAGCAGAAGCCACTTAAGGGGATTTGTTTTTCATTATCCTACAATAGAATACATAAGAGCATTAGGTGGAAACTACAGCGGTTAGACTACAAAATGAATAAGTGAAAAGAAAAGGTGTAAAGGTAACATTTTTAATTGATCACAGAAGTTTTAGCAACTGAGAGCGAATAAATACATGGCATTTTGAAAGTTGTATTATGAAGTTCTTAATTACCTATATACAGAATTACAATACATTATTGATGTGTGTTATCTTTAAAATGCAATATACAGCAAAAGTATTGTTAAAAAATATCTTTGAAAGGTTTCTATAATCCATGAATTTCAAATTCAGTAACAAGAACTAAGAACATTATATACTTTGTCTAAAATCACCCTCTGGAATGGTCAACAAATGGCTGTTTCATACAATCATGCTCATGGGGATTATTTAGCTAAGTTTTGTGGTTTTAGCCATATTTTATCATAGTTTGAAAGGGATATGAATCAATCAGGCAAGATTAGCTTATGTGGCAATAACAAACAACCACTAACACTCATTGGCTTAAAACTAAAATGGTTGTATGTTTTTGCTTTTGTTTCTTAACTTCTCACCCAAGTTACATATTTAAAAATAGTCATTTAGAGCCGGGCGCGGTGGCTCAAGCCTGTAATCCCTGCACTTTGGGAGGCCGAGACGGGCGGATCACGAGGTCAGGAGATCGAGACCATCCTGGCTAACACGGTGAAACCCCGTCTCTACTAAAAAGTACAAAAAACTAGCCGGGCGAGGTGGCGGGCGCCTGTAGTCCCAGCTACTTGGGAGGCTGAGGCAGGAGAATGGCATAAACTTGGGAGGCGGAGCTTGCAGTGAGCTGAGATCCGGCCACTTTACTCCAGCCTGGGCGACAGGGTGAGACTCCGTCTCAAAAAAAAAAAAAAAAAAAAAAGTCATTTAGAGTCTCTGAAATGTGTCACCATCCTCCTAATAAAGTAGCCACTATCAGAAATGTTCTCTGTAGAAGAAAACAAACAAGCAATGTCACAAAGCATTCTCAGGATTTTAAATAGATTTAAATCACCTGGAAATTTAAATCACTTGTAAATGAGACAAATCATTTCCGGCCCCATTTCACTGGAAATAATCACAAAAAGAAACAACCTTAAAAAGATGGGAAAGTGCAAACCTACAAAGTGACTAAAAAGAAAAAAGAGCTAGCACATTTGTGAAGAGATCTAACGTGTATTAGACTCCCTATAAAATAAAAAACACTGAAACTTCTTATTGTGTAAATGTCAAGGTTCTGAAGTAAACATTAATTTTTCCGTGAGTCTTGTTGGAAAATTAATTTATTTTTCATTTTCTGATATCAAGTAAACATCAAAGTTGAATTTGGAATTCAAACTTCTATTTAGCAACTGGTTGAGAAAAAGAATGATTT